GACGACGACCCCCTCGCCGTCTTCTTGCCCTTCACCACCGTCGTCGCCTTCTTCGTGTGCTCTAGGGCTATGGTTTGTCCTTCACCATGGCGACGAAGCTCGAGAGGGTTTGGCAGAGGTGCGGAGAGCAGAGAGATGCGAGACGGAGAAGAAGAGAGAAAGGGGAATGAATGGGATGCATAGTACCCCGCATCGGCAACGACGCGTTTTATGGACCCGCTGCCGAGTGGCTGACTTGTGGGCCCGAGCAATCTTATCACATCCCGTAACAGGCGTGGGCTCGATACGTGGCGAAAAAGGCGGCACAAAGATTGAGGAGTCCCTATCTACTCGCTCCGCTTACTGCGCCACGCCCCGTCCCACGCGCTTCTCCGAATTTTTGAATCACATGAGATCCGGGAATCGCGGAGCAGTCAATCGCACCGAAGATATCAAATCCTAATTCACTCGAAGATTTGCGGCATAATCCACTCGGCGATTTCAGAAGCTAGAATCGACCGAGGCGACTGATGCAGGGTTAAAGTATCCGAGTACTTTCAATACCTTGAAGAAATGCCTCTGAAGCATTGAATCGAGTCGGAATCAACTCCAACCATTCCTCACTCGGACCTCAATCCATTCGAGGGCTAATGACGATGACATGTACCTAGCGTAGGGTCGTAGACCTAACCTAGACACCCTACCCAAGGACACTACCCTAGAGTCAAAGACATACAAAGTTCTACAGAAGATACCAACTGAAATCACCCTGAAGTGTAATCCACTCGACGGCAGATTCCACTCGGATATCCCAATACCACTCGACATAATCATTACACTCGACCATACAAAACAATCACTCGAAGCATAGAAGGCCTACAATCACCCCAGGATGGCAACGACCGGGCATTCACTTCGTAGTCATAAAGATCATTAATAGCTGGCGTTACCAGTAATGCCCCTATCTTAACTCACATTGAACCCTGTGTAACCGAGGGCCAGAGGGGCCTGGCGCACTCTATATAAGTCACCCGCTCCTATGGCACAAGAGTTCGCACCCCCTTTAACCTTCACACATATCTAGTGGATCAGCCTCCGCGACACCGAGACGTAGGTCTGTTACCTCCTTCGAGAGGGGCCTGAACTCGTAAACTTGCGTGGACATTCTCGCCATAGCTAGGATCCTGCCTCCTCCTACCTACCCCCTACTCTTACTGTCAGACTTGTTCCAATGACATACGGAATCCTAGCATCCAGCGAAAGCTCTTGGACAAAGTCCTCGATGCCCTCCGTGTGGCCGTCCTCCCTCTTGATGGCGATGGCAGCCTACATCTACGGCCCGGGCATGACGTCGTCAACGACTGCCATCTCGCAGACCAGCCACCGGAGCTGGTCGAACCTCCTGGCCTCCGCGAGCGCCTCCGCGAGCACGTTGTACTGCCGGGTGGTCCTGCGCGAGCGTCTCCTCGTCGTCAGCCTCCGGCAGCTCCTCGGGCGAGGGCGCCCAGTTCACGGCCCGTTCGTCCAGCCGAGCGGGCGGCGAGGAGGCGTGGTGACGGCGCGCGACGGCCAGGGCGAAGGCTCGGCGGGCAGCAAGGAGACGGCGGGGAGCGCGATCGGAGCGAGGAGCTGTGCTTGCGGAGAGATAGAGTGGATATATTCTTTTTTCATGCTAGTGGGTGGGGTGGGCCGAGCAGAAAGAGGGAGGAGAGAGGCTGACTGATGGGTTTGACCATGCACAAAATAGCGTCGGACGCCCCAAGTGCCCCTCGGGGGGTTGGGTTTGGCATGGGGTCGCCGGGGCTATTATTGTTTAAATATGACGCAAAATGATGTCTTAAGAACATGATTTAGATTATTTTTTTATCACCGGTGCTAAAAAAGGTGTTTGGGGGTCGTTACGGCCGAGTGGAGACGGTGTAAGGAACGGATCGAACGCAGCGATCGCAGCTGCGAGCGAACGAACCGGCCGGCCCTGTTCTGTACCGACGAGAAGTGAAAGGGAGCCGGGCATACATCCAACGCGACCTCCACGATCCGCCTCACTCGCACCCAACCAATCACAGCACGCGAACCACCACCCCACGGATCACTCCCTCCATACAAAATCTGACCGTCCACGCATCACACATCCAACGCTCCACGCTCATCTTCCTTCCCGAAAAGCAAAACTCACGCGCCCTCCCCTCCAAAATCCCCCGCCCGCTCGGCGCCGGCGCGCGCCTCCTCTCTCTATTTAACACCATCCCTCCCTTTCTTCCTCTTCACCCCAGCCCGTCCCCAAATCTCCAAGCGCGAGCGACAACCGGCCCTGCCTCAACCCCCCGGCGCGTCTCCGACTCCATGGCCCGCACCAAGCAGACGGCGAGGAAGTCCACCGGCGGCAAGGCGCCGCGGAAGCAGCTGGCGACCAAGGCCGCCCGCAAGTCCGCCCCGGCCACCGGCGGCGTCAAGAAGCCCCACCGCTTCCGCCCCGGCACCGTCGCGCTCCGCGAGATCCGCAAGTACCAGAAGAGCACGGAGCTGCTCATCCGCAAGCTCCCCTTCCAGCGCCTCGTCCGCGAGATCGCCCAGGACTTCAAGACCGACCTCCGCTTCCAGTCCTCCGCCGTCTCCGCCCTGCAGGAGGCCGCCGAGGCCTACCTCGTCGGCCTCTTCGAGGACACCAACCTCTGCGCCATCCACGCCAAGCGCGTCACCATCATGCCCAAGGACATCCAGCTCGCCCGCCGCATCCGTGGCGAGAGGGCCTAGGCTGCAACCCATGCGCCGTCTGTTAGATCCCTGTTAGGCTGAGTTCGTCGGTGGAAATGTGTGTGCTTGTAGTGTTCTTGCCATGGTCGATGCGTTGTGCCTAATCTGATGGTACCCTCTTGTTGCCATCAGCGGTGGAAATGAAAAATGTTGGCTTCCCGTTCTCATTCATCTGTGTTTGAATTCCTGTTCCCAACTTGTCAGAGTTCTTGCTAGATTTAGCTAGCTCTTTCTATTTTGCTCTGAATTTCAGCTTTTATCATTCAGAGCTTGAACCTAGCTAGCTGCCTCTGAACCTGAACGAACTGGCAGTTACCTGAAAATTGCTTGTCCGCTAGTGTGCTCGTCTTCAGTTCCGTCTATCAACAAGTTGCATGACAGCACCTGTGTGTCTGATGTTCAGTGCACATATTCTGTTGAAAAGCATCCATATTCTGCCTGATTACATTGCAACCCTGTAAGTCTATGAACCATGCTCTAAACTAAGTACATCCTGTGGTTCTGCCTGTCGAAGCAGCAGTTGTTTGCTTTATGTTCTGTTCCGGTGGACTGGCCATTGCTTGGATAGAGTATCCTGAACATTTGTTACATTCAGGAGTGTAAAGAGAACATGTGCCCTATCCCAAGCATGTGAAGTGACCTGCCAGTTTCCGCTACTTTGTTCTTAATTGCTTCGATTTTGTAGCTTACAAATGTTACTGTAGTAGTGTGTCAAAATTCCAAATAACTATTCCGGTTGGTTGCCTCCGAACCTGGATGAACAGATGTAATACTCCTGAACAGATGTCAAAATTCCAAATAACTATGCCCATTCAGTTCAGTTTTGTGTACCTTACATAAACAGTAGTGCTTCCTGATGATCGCATCAGCGCTGAAAGTGCCTCAATCCTGTATAATCTCAAAACTACAAACACAGTTACAAGGATGCCTCCGACTACAGTTTTTCTTGATTAGATGTTTATCGTGAGGCACACTGCTCTATACTTCTTAAGAGAATTTTAGTGGTCGCCCATGGGTAACTGCTGCCACAGTAATACCAACGCCAATTTCTTGGTACCTATTCTAACATCGACTAGCGCGCGCACACACTTGACGCAAAAAGCTGTTCATTCTGGGCAGTTTACAGCAGTGCTGCTGTGGGATCCGAATGTTTATGGTGGTAAGCTGATGTTAGAACAGTCAAGCATCTCGAAACTTAATTTTGAAGGAAGAGAGGCAGTATTATGTTTATGAACCGTACAATTAATTTAAATTTATGAAATTTATTACTGATGCATGATACGAGTTCTTTGACGGGAGAAGGTTTCTAATGGCATTCTCATGTGACTCAAAAGGGATGCAGAATTTTTGGAGGCCATTAAGCTTCTAGCACCAATTACCTGATCGCTAAGTTATTGTATGTAATTTTGTAAAGGGTTATCCGAATGTTTGAATCCTAAAAAAGTGAACTCCAGTTAGCAACGAAAAATGAGAATAGCATTGATGCATTGCGTTCGAGCAAGTTTCTTGTAGATTATCTTCGGAACTCAAAAACAGTTCGGATGAAGGAATAAGAGTCTTTCATTGGAGGACATGCTACAGCAACGCAACAAGTATATCAAATTGAATTGATATTCACGGTGAATTAGCAACTTATCTTGGAATACAACCATAAAAAAAGTCTGTTCCTTGCAGAATAACTGAAGACAATCATTCTCATTTCGACAGAGAAAATTCCATGCATTCAAGAACACGACACAGCACAGCAGTTCTGAACAAACACCTGGCCCCGCCGGCCCACAGCCCAAAAATTTCGAGTGCCTGAATATATTTAAACATTTGAGTAATTTTGGCCTAAATGCACTCCTGTAATACGTTTAAACATTTGAGTGCCTGAATAGCGAATTACTCTGCATTTTTTCTGAACACAAAATTCCTCTGCATTTTAAAATGGCCAAAATTCCTCAAATTCCTCTGCATTTTTTCTGAAATGGCCAAAATTTTCGCCCCGCAATTTTTTTTTTCGAGCCGCCGCCATAGCTCTGACCCAGCCCGCCAATCCACCGGTTCAAGCTTCCGGCCACGTCACCGATCCGCGGCATCCCGCCCCCGGATCGCCATCTCCACCGTCCACTCCATCCGCATCCAACGGCAGGCAGAGGCCTCCTCCAACCTCTCGCCCCCTTTAAAACGCCCTTGGCCCCTGCCCCCAAATCACATCACCAGTAGCCAGTAGCCACCGCCGTTCCTCCGGTTCCACATCCGCTCGCAGCTCGAGATCGGCAGCCATGTCCGGGCGTGGCAAGGGAGGCAAGGGGCTCGGCAAGGGCGGCGCCAAGCGCCACAGGAAGGTTCTGCGCGACAACATCCAGGGCATCACCAAGCCGGCGATCCGGCGGCTGGCGCGGAGGGGCGGCGTGAAGCGCATCTCGGGGCTCATCTACGAGGAGACCCGCGGCGTGCTCAAGATCTTCCTCGAGAACGTCATCCGCGACGCCGTCACCTACACCGAGCACGCCCGCCGCAAGACCGTCACCGCCATGGACGTCGTCTACGCGCTCAAGCGCCAGGGGCGCACCCTCTACGGCTTCGGCGGCTAGGCCCGGCCGACGGTCGCATGTCTCTCTCGCCGCCTGCAGATTCGAAAAGCTTGATGGAACCCCGACCTGTCTAGTTCGCTGTTTCCTGTGTAGCTCGCATGTGTTTGTTGGAAATCAAACTTCTCTCTGCAAATGCCGCGTTTCTGAATTTGTTTCGCCGTTTGGTCTCTGTTGGGTCGATATTGAGGTGGCGATGAGTTGATTTGCCATAATTTACCAGGAGCCCCGGATTAGCCGTACTTGTTTGCAGTCTAATTTGATGTTACTTCTGTGGTGCAATGTGTGAAAATGGAGATGGTGATTTGTCTGCATTTCATACTACATCGAGTTGTAGATTGAGTTTCTATCCTTGACCGGACTTCCTGGTGTACAAATTTGTTGCCTGACTTGTACTGTGAAACTATCTCAGTGACCAATTCATCATGTGGTTCGTGCTAACTGCTAGTGCTATAAGTTAATTAGGATCATCATTTGTGCTTTTATTTCTGTTGATTTGTATGTAGTTACTACAATAACCTTTTAATTGGCTGAACTGTGCTTCCAACTGTGGAATTGCGAATACAGACAAACGATACCCTCTTGGCAGTGACAGGAACTTCATCCTTCAGTTGAATTGATCAAGAGGCGCAATGATGTATTGGATCTGTTACGAATTACAGTATATTCAGATATCCAAAGCAGCTCCGATAAATGAATACTAAATCTGTCCCGAGCAGGATGCTACAGAATTCAACCATCATTCTGTCAGAACGGTAATGGAACAAGCACACCAAGTTAGATGGATACTGTGATCCACAGAAAATTAGCCATCATTCTTCTCGTTTGGCTTTGAAGTAAACTTATATATAAAAGATGTTTGCTCATTAGAGAGTCTTGGGATGCAAAGGAGGCTTCGGCAGCCCGCGATGCAGAGGAGGAGGAATCCCTTTGTGCCCGCGTAGCTCAGAAGCGGCGGAGGAGGGCAGTCAAGACAATGGCAAAATACCAAAGCCGAGTGGTCCGCGTCATGGCCGGACTGCCTCCCAAGGAGGGGAAAGACAAGGACGGCGGCGGATCGGACAGCTCTGACAATGAGCAGATCCGCCCCGATCCATTCCGCGTCTTCGACCCCTACTGCCGCAAGGACGACGGGAAAGGCAAAGGCAAGGGCAAGACCAACCGTGGATGAACTTCTCCGGTCGTCTTTCTCTTCGTAGTTAGTAGAGCTTGTTGATTTTTTGGTTGTCCGATGACAATGTGTTTAGCTACGTACGACGTTGCATGAGCTAATATGAATTTGAGTATTTGGTTTAGATGCATCCGGTTGTGGAGGAGCAATTTTATGTGTTGTTTGTTCAGTGCCTGCGGACGCGCCGACATTTGGTATTTGTTGTTGTAGATGCTCTGAACGTGTAAAGACAGATTCTTGAGGGTTCATAAAAAAGACAGATATATACGCTCATCTCTTTAGCTCATCGTTAGCTCACTGGTCACCAGTTAAGCTACCGCCACCTCAGGCTCTGCCGCAGACGGGAGGCTGGCCAGCCATGGCAGCAGCTTCTCGTGCACGAGGTCCGGCCGATCGTCGTGCGGACAGTGGCCAACCCCCGCCAGCATGTAGAGTCTCACGTTGGAAAGCTCGGACGGGAGGCCGGAGAAGTACTTCCCCACGGGCCCGTCGATCGGGGTGAAGGGGTCCTCGTCTCCCCACAGAACCAAGACCGGAATCTTGATCGTCGGCATCAGGGCTATCGGGCTAGGCCCCGGCGGGCCCGTCACCGTCGACACGAACGCGTCGAGAGCACCTTCGGTGTCAGCCGGCCCCCTTATGATCTGCACAGCACTACGACAGGAAGGCATCAGCCATCGTTTGGTTGCCACTCAGATATCTTCTGAACTGCATGAGAGAATTTGCTGATGGTTCAGGAGATGCAGAGCGTATTTACCTCGACCAGTTCATCATCCACGGCCTCTTTGTTTCCGTAGACAGACATCAAGATATTCTTCAGATTCTCCCTGTTTCAGCTCAGGAATCAGTATATACTACATCACCATGTCAGTCGGCCAAGGGACTGGGTAACTGAAACCATGCAGTGAAGACATGCCTTTCTTTAACGCGGCCGAAGAGCGCCGATGCGATACTCTTTTGTTTGAGCAGAAAGTCGATTAGCCAGAGCAGAGGTAAGAGCAGCTTGATCCTCCAGTCATCGACGATCGCCTTGTTGTTCATCCCACCTGAGCAGTTCAGCAGCACGAGTCCCCGGACAAGGTCCCTGGTAGAATCTGTTGCCCAGCATTAACAAACAAGTTTCAAAGTGAGTGAAATGACTACAGAGGCTGGAGCAGGGGAGCAGATTCAATTGTTTAAAAGAGAAGTTAACACCTGCCTAGTAAAAAAAATAAAAGGTTGCCATCTAAAGAATTCAGAAGTTAGGCATTCTTGCAGCTACTCTGTCACATGGGATGGGCACATGTATAATTGTCAGCTGCAAAATCATTCTTCAGAACCAGCTACAGAGTTACCATTCCATATTCGACATGAACACGGAGCTACAGAGTTACCATTCCATATTCGACATGTGTACTTGTCTAACCTGAGGCGGCAATGACACAAGCAAGGCTGCCCACAGAGTTGCCAACAAGCACGGTGGGCCTCTTGACGACCTCGTCCAAGAACTCCAGGATCAACTGCTTGGCACAAAACCAGACACGCAATTAAGCAATTTAATTACACGCCATGATCTGGTGATTATTAGCTACTTCTTCCTCTGTAATAAGTGACCTAAAACGTCTTAGGTTTGTTTACAGAGGGAGTATTAGCCAAACCGAGGACTTACCTCGGCCCATGTTTCCATGGTGTAAGAGAATCCAGCAGGCTTGTCTGACGCCCCGAACCCGAGCAAATCGATGGCATAGACGGTGTTGGATTCAGATAACACGCCAATGTTCCTGAAAAGAAATGTCCAGTGAAATATTCGTGAAGTAAAATATCCGTAGAACCTGGCCGGGATCGATCGGCTCTTGCTCACCTGCGCCAGTGCGCGACGGAGGCGCCGAAGCCGTGGACGAGCAGCACGGGCGGGCCCTCCCCCCTGACCAGGTAGTTCACGCGCATCCCTCGCCATGACCAGGTGGTGCAGCTCCGGGACAGCTCCTCCAGCGACGAGCTGGTGGCGAGGGCCGCGCTACTGCTGTCGCCGGAGGCGTGCCGGAGAACACGGGCGCCTCTGAGGCGGGCATGCGTGGGAGGCGACGAGGAGGACGCGCAGGGTAGGTGAGTTCTTGGAGTTGCGAAGGAGGTGAAGGAAAGGACACGGTGGTGGTGGGCGAGTGCGGCCATATCCGCCGCGCGCTCCGTCTCCCCCCGGTGGCCACCGGTTGTCTAGTTGTCTCGTGGGTTTTTGGCGTCGTCGATCGATTGTTGCGCTGAGATTTGTGCTCTTCTCTGCACTGCTTAATGGACCACGATAGCAAGTCACAAATCCAAAGGAAATGCAAAAATCTTGGGGCTCCGCTTTACTCTACAGTACTCCCTTCGTTTATTTATTTTTTATAAGTCAGATTCCACAAATTTTAACCAAATTTATCAAAAAAAACACATCAACATCTAGAATACCAAACCAATATCATTAGATTTATCATGAAATGGAGTGTTTTCATATGATGTACTATGTATTGTGGATGTGATTTTTTTTCTCCATGAATATGATTAAAGTTTATGAAGTTTGACTTTTGCGGAAACTAATGCGCACTATAAGACAGTATGTGCAAATGTCAATATTTTTGTTTCACTGTTGCATGTAGATTTGTAAACTTGCGAGGCTGTTGGTTAGGTCTAGGAACCAGAATTTTACTCAATTTTGCAAGATGGTGAAGGAGACTACATAGCTTAGCTTTTACAACAAAGCATTTGTGTTGGGGAGGGAGGGCGTGATTTCTTTGATGTAGTGTGTGCTAATCTTATCTAAGCTTAAATTAATAATCACAATTAAAATCTAGTTCCATCCAACTTTTAGAAAAAATAAGTTGTCCACTGGGCTATGAAATTTAGACAGAAATTATTTCTGTCTTTTTTTACAACTGCAAACGCTCACACATATATACACGTACGCTCGCCCCTATAAAGGTATGCAAACATATCCTACCTCTACAAGCACCTTCAAAGGTCTCTCACTGAACGAACATCGTCAAGAAGCAGAACACATTATAGAGAGGTGTGTCAATTTCATGGAAGAAGAGTCAAACAGTTGATACCATGCTAATCCATGGGTTATCAATCACACCAACCACAAAATTGTGTCAATTACAAGCCACAAACGGTGAGGAGGCATGACACAAAGAACCAAGGTCCTGGCGTGACACACAGAACCAAGGTTGTGTTACAACCGATGCCAAAAACACCTCAGAAGCACAACCATGACTTTAGGTGACCCTGGATTAAGGCACCCTCCGCCCTTTGCGCCTAGGAAGAGTTGTCTGGTCGATGACACCGCCCTAAGCCTTGTTGTTGAGACCGTCCGATGGCACCGACTCCAACTTCCACTCTGGTGGTGAGAGAGTCCTGGATTATGAAGGAAATATGCCCTAGAGGCAATAATAAAGTTGTTATTTATATTTCCTTATACCATGATAAATGTTTATTATTCATGCTAGAATTGTATTAACCAGAAACTTAGTACATGTGTGAATACATAGACAAACAGTGTCACTAGTATGCCTCTACCTGACTAGCTCATTGATCAAAGATGGTTAAGTTTCCTAGCCATGGACAAAGAGTTGTCATTTGATAAACGGGATCACATCATTAGAGAATGATGTGATTGACTTGACCCATCCGTTAGCTTAGCACTTTGATCATTTAGTTTAGTGCTATTGCTTTCTCCATAACTTATACATGTTCCTATGACTATGAGATTATGCAACTCCCGAATACCGGAGGAACACTTAGTGTGCTATCAAACGTCACAACGTAACTGGGTGACTATAAAGATGCTCTATAGGTGTCTCCGATGGTGTTTGTT